GGCGGCAGAGGTGGCGGCCGACGGTGGCGGCGGCCGGTGGAGAAGAAGGAGATTTTTCAATTTTTTCAGTCGGGACTCCGCTTGACTTTTTTACGGGTCCCCACAGACGGCGCCAATGAAGTGAATAAGATTCACCCGGGCTCCTTCAACTCGAACCGGCCTCCGTACCTGCAAAACCCAACGCCTGGTGGCCCCGGCGTCGGGCCTCCGATGCCTCAGTCAGTGCTCGGATCAAGAGAGAGATAAAGTGTAGTAATGTAATGAGGAGAGGATGAGAGAATGAGGTACCTTGGCCCCCTTCTATAGGGGGAGTGTATCTTTGTGGGCTCAAGTTGGGCTTGGCCCATATCGTAGTGCTTCATCCATACGTGGGCTCGTCTTCCAATATATGCTTGTTTTCTCCATTAAACCGGGTGTAGTATAATATCATATATCAGTACTGATGTAGCACAGAACATAACTCGGAGCCTGAGCGGTTAGCTCGGATAGGTCGGTCTAAGGAAGCTTAGAGCTAATTTATGTGATAAGACATTATTTAAAGATATTAAATTAGTGTATATCTACACAGTTATTGAGGAACATCAGAATTCTGATTTAAGGGGAAAACTCATTATCTTGGGAAGTAAGTCATTAAGCCCCTTATAAATGAGGGACCAGGTTCATTTTCTAATCCTAAGCTCTTAAGATTACATACGTAAGATATACAATAAGATATTTGTTTTCTGACTTGAGCGTCGGAGTGTCTACGCCAGGGCCCCGCCCCCGGTGCTTTGCATGTTGATTCGTTCTTGAAGAAGAAGGCGATCGAGACATTCGAACTCTCACACAATCGAGATGAGGCGGTTCGATCGACAACCTCGGTAAATTGATTATTTGGCCATCAAATTGACGTCGTCTGTGGGACAATTCGATTTCTACTGGAGGAGCGTAGATCCGCATCCCGTATCTTGTTACGCATAGAAAATAAAAAAAGGGAGAAAATTTGTTCTTAAGAGAAAGAGCGTCTGCACGAATAAGAAAAAGGTAGCAAAAATTTCAACAAAAATTATGTATTCTGAGGAGGTATTCATTTGTTGGGAACAATCCAGAATTCTTATGCATAAAAAAAATTGAATAAAGAAAGCGGCAGGCCTAATCGGCCCTGCCCGAAGAAAATGAAATAAAAAAAGAAATGCAACAGAAAGCAGGAGTGAGGAGCAAGCAAAAAATTGAAGAAGGGGAACAACGGAGTGCTTTTGGAGAGAAGAGAAGTGCGAGTTGCGGCGGCTGGATTGGCCATCGAAGAGAACGGACCCAATGAAGGATTTCGCACCGAGAACTTTACCTGTGATTGTGTGTCGACTCCTAGAGTTTTGACTGATGGATTTTGCGATTCTTTTGGGACTGACAACAAATGTGATATCCGAGTAGCGTTAATGAAGGAACGGCGGGCCTTGATGGAGGTCGGTGTGAGGCCGGGGACAACTGTTGCAGAGGCGAGTTTCGAACGCCATTAGGAGCTCTTACGCAAGCAATTTTTTAGAAAAGACATAGATAATTTTGGGCCTCGATATACCGTGAATCGATCGATGACACAAATAGGTGTGGGTGACAGCGACGGCCAGCGGGTGGTCGTCGATATTCTGTTGTCATTTTGTCCGAACTACCGACGTAAGGTAAGGGGTGCAAGCGTGAATATCTGGGAAGAGTTGCGAAGTTGAAGGAAGAGCTTATGGTTTAGATGGGCTGTTTTTGGCCTAGTTCACGATGTAGAAGATGTGGTGTAAAAAGAAGGAAAAAGATGATATTTTTGTTGGGTTAGGCTAAAAATTAAAGGGGCGACAAAAAAAAGGAGTTTTGAGAAACTTGGACTGTGAATTGTAATTGCTGGGCAAATTTGAGACATGTGAAGGAGGACAAGATTAAGTATAGCATTGAGCTTGTGGGCCCAATAATTCTGCAATTGTTTAAATGAAGAAAAACGACATGCTGGGGATGGGACAAAACGAGTATGAGGTTTTTGAAGAGTAGGGGGTACACCATCGTGGCGGTCGCTCGTCTACTGACATGGTGCGTCGGAAAAAAAGAAGACAGTGGAATGGGAAGCCAACATCTAGAGAATTTAGTATCAAAGCTGGGGGTTCGTGGGGGTAAAGAGAGAAAAAGAAAGTGAAAGGCCGGAAATTGCTAAAAGAGGAGCAATAAAGCACCTAGTCGCGGGCCTCGTGACGGCTGCATAATGGCAGCAGAAGAGTCTCGTCGTGACACGACTGCAACAAGGAAAGTTGGCATGCAAGCGATCAAAAGTAAGGAGAGGAAGAGGAAAGGCTTGGTGGTAGTCGGCTACGGTCGGCTCTCGAAATCAGTAAGTTATCAATATAGGGCATCAATTATTTGCGTATAGAGGTCGGGAGAGCCCGGCGATGGCTTTGACATCTTATAACGAAAAGTCAGGAGTACCCAGCTAGTTGTTTTGAGCTCCATTTTGTTTTGGGATGAGGTCGTAGAATCCAACAATACTTCTCAGCCCGATTATTTATGCAGTGGGATCGGTTCAATGATATATTACTAACCCCGATGGTTTTTTTTAAAGAGGTCAACAGTGATATTTGCGACTCCAGGTACATAAGCTACGCTTCTCTATCTAATGATCAAGCTCAGATATTATGAAATGTTTCATTGGGTTATTTTTTGTGAAGAAGCAACAATTGCCTTCATATCTCTGGAAAAATGTTTTCGATGCTAAGATAAGTGCAGGGTTGGCTTGGAGCCATAAACGCGGGTCGAGGATATCACTAGAGCTTGCAAAGCTTGGTGGTGGTCGAGGACATCACTAGAGCTTGCAGAGCTTGGTGGTGGTCGAGATAGTGTGAAAGCCTATTGAAGATATCACTAGAGCTTGCAGAGCTTGGTGGTGGTCGAGGACATCACTAGAGCTTGCAGAGCTTGGTGGTGGTCGAGATAGTGCGAAAGCCTATTGAAGACATCACTAGAGCTTGCAGAGCTTGGTGGTGGTCGAGGACATCACTAGAGCTTGCAGAGCTTGGTGGTGGTCGAGATAGGGCGAAAGCCTGTTGAAGACATCACTAGAGCTTGGAGAGCTTGGTGGTGGTCGAGGACATCACTAGAGCTTGCAGAGCTTGGTGGTGGTCGAGATAGGACGAAAGCCTGTTGAAGACATCACTAGAGCTTGGAGATCTTGGTGGTGGTTGAGGACATCACTAGAGCTTGCAGAGCTTAGTGGTGTCGATATAGGGTGAAAGTCTGTTGAAGACATCGCTAGAACTTGTAGAGCTTGGTGGTGGTCGAGGAAATCACTAGAGCTTGCAGAGCTTGGTGGTTGTCGAGATAGGGCGAAAGCCTGCTGAAGACATTGCTAGAGCTCGCGGAGCTCAGCGGTGATCGAGATAGGGCGAAAGCCTGTTGACATCGCTTGAGCTCGCGGAGCTCGGCGGTGACCGAGATAGGGCGAAAGTCTGTTGATGTTGCTGGAGCTCGGCAGTGACCGAGATAGGGCGAAAGCCTGTTAATGTAGTTTGAGCTAGCGGAGCTCACCAATATCGTTGTGTTTGTGAGATCGGCAGGGGGTCCTCAGACTCGTAGCCAAACTTAGGGCGAAAGTTTGTCATGGCGTTGCTCGAGTTCTTGGAGCTCGACAGCGGTCCTTTGACTTGTAGCTATATCAAGGATAATTAGTCCGTAGTAGCGGTGCCCGAGCTCGTACAGCTCGTGAGGTTGTAGATATGAGAGTCATTGTACAACTTGAGCAGATAGTTCTAATGTCAAATGTTTTAACGGGACAGAACATCGAGCAGGTTGCTCGCGGGCCACAAAGGCAATGAAAATGCAAAGTTAGTCCAATAGCCATATCTTCATGTAGTTGGCAGCAGAACTCCGACGTGGTAGACTGTGGGGGCTGGATGAGCCCAGGACCCTAATGTTGTAGTCCTATGATATACACTTGGGCGAGACATGATTGTTCTACTCTTAGACAAGTCTTTTATTCATAAGCTCGTCAAGAGTGGGGGGAGGGGGGCTAGATGATGTAGCACGGAAAATAACTCGGTGGACCAGCCTGAGCGGTTAGCTCGGATAGGTCGGTCTAAGGAAGCTTAGAGCTAATTTATGTGATAAGACATTAATTTAAGATATTAAATTGGTGTATATCTACACAGTTATTGAGGAACATCAGAATTCTGATTTAAGGGGGAAACTCATTATTTTGGGAAGTAAGTCATTAAGCCTCTTATAAATGAGGGACCAGGTTCATTTTCTAATCCTAAGCTCTTAAGATTACATACGTAAGATTTACTATAAAATATTTGTTTTCTGACTTGAGCGTCGGAGTGTCTACGCCGGGGCCCCACCCCCGGTGCTTTGCAGGTTGATTCGGTTCTTGAAGAAGAAGGCGATCGAGACATTCGAACTCTCACACAATCTAGATGAGGCGGTTCGATCGACAACCTCGGTGAATCGATTATTTGGCCATCAAGTACCACTCTCACCGGAACACGATCCTATATAATTATATA